CTATGTAACGTATTATATTAGGTGATTGAGCAAACGAAGGAGCACTATTGGAAAAGGTGGGAATCAGGAATGTAAAAGAAGTGTTTCGCACTTTATTAAAATGATTGTAAACATTTTTGTTTGCTTATTTCATTGATTGCGAATACTAATGATTTTTTTTTCTAATCGTTTTTGTACAATTTTCAGGGACCGTCTTCATTGCTCTACTCAGTGGTTAGTGTACCGGTCTGCGTATCGGTAGGTCCATGGTTTAAGACGCGATTTGTTGCTGAACTTGCTCCGCTCCTTCAGAGTATGAGAAATGTAGCTTTGACTGTCAATGTCGCTCTTCAGTTAAAAGTAATTGATCATGCTATGGGTGCTGTTGATTGGTTACCATCCTTGCAGTCAACAATTGTGAATCTTTGGAGTCTCTGACCTGGCTGTTTTACTCAGACGCTCCTCAGTGTGAAGATACAAATAACTTGAGACAGTATATCGAATATTAAATAAAATGCACAATGGGCCTAATTTGCACAAACACCTAACTTTTTACGCAAGAAAAATGACATTTTCTGAAATTGAAACGGACACAATTTACTTCGTCCGCCCAATTGGTTTATCTTAATACACTGGTTTCACCTGTTCTTAAAGAACCTCATAGCTAATTGAGGACCGGTCCCAAATTCTGGTCTTCCCACGAACGAAATCACGCTTTCTTCTTGGTAGAGGACATTGACACGTCTATTATAATTACCCTTAGATACAAACGAGCCTATATTAAATGAATATCAACGCACAAACATGGACATCAACAACCTCTGCCCCATTTTCTGGGTCATTAATTCTTGTTTTCTGAAGTACTGCAGCACAGTAAAAATTCAACACTAACTTGGTACAAGACAATCGGTAAAAAAAGAATTATTTTTTCCTTACTATTTTTTTTTACTTGAACGGAAGTGACGTTACCTGACCTAAGTGATGATTTACAATAAAACGTCACCGACTCGTTTTTCTTTCTGTGACGTAGTTGTTTCTGTTCTCTGTTGTCAAATGACATTACTCTGATACATTTTTCGTTTGTTTGTTTTATGAATTTCGCGCAAAGCTACACGGGGGCTATCTGCACTAGCCGTCCCTAATTTAGCAGTGAAAGACTAGAGGGAAGGCAGCTAATCATCACCACCCACAGCCAACTCTTGGGCTACTCTTTTACCAACGAATAGTGGGATTGACCGTCACATTATAACGCCCCCACCCGGCTGAAAGGGGCGAACATGCTTGGTGGGACGGGGATTCGAACCCGCGACCCTCAGATTGTGAGTGAAACGCCCTAACCGCATGGGCATGCCGAGCCCTTTTCTGTGCCCACCACGGGTATCAAAACCCAGTTTCAAGCAGCTTAAGTCCGCAGGCATACCGTAGTGCCACTGGGGTACAGTCTAAAAGAGACATTTTTGGCATTTACCAAGTCAGTAAACAGAATTCAGCTAACAGTTACATACTAACTTAGAGCCGTTTAATAATAAACTAAATATATATATATATTCTTTATTATTCTGATAGAAATAAAAGAATATTCGAATAATCAATGTACTATTTTCGTTTCGGTCAATGCCGGGGGGGTCTACTGATTATTACTTAAACAATGAGTTGGAAGATCTGTTTATAAACAGTTGTTCAAACTTCCATATATTAGCGTTCAAAGCCGAGGTGAATAGATTAATGAAATGAATTGATTAAATTTAACTCCATCAAACTTTCAATTTATATACAGTCCCTTTGAATTAAGTGAAATGTCTGATCGTATCCAACAACAACGAGGGATGGTTCTTTTAGTACAGCCAATAAATTATTCCCAAACACACAGACGGAGAAGGCAGGTAAAAGCAACTGAAAACGTCCCCTAGTTTGTGTTTCTATCACACATACATGCCAGGAGCTATATTAGGACAGGTGAAATCTGTCAAACACTTAAAAACATTACATAACGTCGCCTGGACAGGTATAGATATATATACAACGTCACTTTAATTGGGGGGAATTACACTTTAACACTTCTACCGGTACATCAATTATTAGAGTAGTTTTCTTGAGTATATTCAACGGAAACTCCTTCACTTTAATTGAGGGGGGGGGGAGTTACATTATAACACTTCTACCAGTACATCAATTATTAGAGTAGTTTTCTTGAGTATATTCAACAGAAACTCTTTCACTTTAACTGGGGGGGGGGGATTACATTTTAACATTTCTACCAGTACATCAATTATTAGAGTAGTTTTCTTGAGTATATTCAACAGAAACTCCTTCACTTTAATTGGGGGGAGTTACATTTTAACATTTCTACCAGTACATCAATTATTAGAGTAGTTTTCTTGAGTGTATTCAACAGAAACTCCTTATGAAGAAACACACTGTAATAAATCTGTGATATTTATTGTTAAACCAAGGTTATCAATTGTATAATTAAGCAAAAGGTGATCAAGTATGAAAGTGTAACTGGGCTAGTCCTAATGTTTTGCTTGATACGCAGTAAAACCCCAAGGATGCGCCACTACGGAGAGTAAATGTGGGGCTGCGATCTGTTGCTTGATACGCAGTAAAACCCCAAGGATGCGCCACTACGGAGAGTAAATGTGGGGCTGCGATCTGTTGCTTGATACGCAATAAAAACCCAAGGATGCACCACTACGGAGAGTAAATGTGGGGCTGCGATCTGTTGCTTGATACGCAGTAAAACCCCAAGGATGCGCCACTACGGAGAGTAAATGTGGGGCTGCGATCTGTTGCTTGATACGCAGTAAAAAACCCAAGGATGCGCCACTACGGAGAGTAAATGTGGGGCTGCGATCTGTTGCTTGATACGCAGTAAAAAACCCAAGGATGCGCCACTACGGAGAGTAAATCTGGGGCTGCGATCTGTAATAAAATTGTTCTGAACAAACATCCCGTCAAATTAAAATATACAAATTACGTATGGCAGTCATTAATGTAATAATACAAGAACACGTAGTTACAGTTTCTGTTAAAGATTGAGCGGCCATAGCCCGGTGGTTAAGTCGCTCGACTCTTAACCTGCGGGTTCGAGCCCTTTTTCAACTGTGAGGGAGTTATAATGTGATGGTCAATCCCACTTTTCGTTGCTAAAAGAATAGCCCAAGAGTCAGAGGCGGGTGGTGTTGACTAGCTGCCTTCCTTCTAGTCTATCACCTCGGAAGTAAGGGACGGCTAACGATGATAGCCCAGGAGTAGCTTTGAAAACAAAGTAACTAAACATTTATCATGATCTTTAGTAACTTACTTATTTACAACTATCAAATGCACAGGTGCAACGTTATTAATAAAATAGTTTAATATATATATATACACTTCAAACTATATTTTTAGAAATATTATGTTTGTCACGCTTAATTATATTACCCTGAATATTAATAATTTCCCTTAACAAGTTGAGACTCGAAGCAAACTCTGTCAAGAATTTAGTGTACGGGTCCTTCACTGTTGTTGTTGTTTGAACGCAAAGCTACACAATGGGCGGCTATCTGCCCTGTGTACACTGCGGGAAATCGAATTCCCGAGTTTAACATTGTAAGTCTGTTATTTACCGCTGACCCCACTGTTCTTCAGTTTGAACTTGTGATACGAGAAAAAAACAACAAAAGGTGGAATTTCGAAAATGAACAATTTACGGAAAACGATTAAGCCTGAAAAATGAGCAAGAAATGTGTGAATTACAGAAAAAGAGTACACTTTCAATAGAGTGCACGTAGTTTATACTCATTCATACTCGCTGATCGTAAACTGTTTTAATCAAATTAAACTTTTTTATTTGTAACAGTTGTTAATTAAGATATATATATATATTTATATTTCAATATACATTTGTCTCACCAGATTCGGAATGGAGAGACCTTCAAAAGAACGAGAATTTGAGTACGTGGACACGCCGTGTCTCGTATCAGCTCGAGACTGTGGACGCCAGGATATCCCGAGAATTATCATAAAACTAAAGTGACCTGTCTCGTACAAGAAACTTTGTTTATGTGTCAGTAAAGAAATGTATTCGAACTATATTACAGATCAGTAAAAGCCGCTCGCTTAATACGAGGTTTTATTTACACAAGTTTTTTTACACCTATTTTTGTTTTCTATTTACATGGGCTTTTTTACACCTGACTAACGTACGAGAAAACAGAGAGGGGGCATTCAAACCTGGGATAACATGCAACCAGCGACAAGTTTTCCTGGCACAGCTCCGATTGGGGCGCAGAATGATGTTAGGGTGCGCAGAGAACGAGCCGAACACGAGCACCGTGAGACAAGACGCGTTCCCTTCTCCAGGCGAACGTCGAACACAGGCGCGAGACACCATCTCACAGTACACTGTGTGCGGTCCTCCTGCTGAGTACTAAGAGTATCTGCATATTGGCCATAATTAATTCTGAAGATGAGGTTCTCAGCCAATGGCCGATCACTTACGAGGAAACAACGTTCATCGTGTTATTGGTTATTTTCATTTTGCGACGCACACTTCAGAGATCCATCAATAAGGCAATTTTAAGCCTAGAAAATATCAACTGAACCGAGGGCTGGTATAAAAACCGAGTGGAATGAAGAAATATCACCCCCCTCTAACACACCAGAAACTCGTCGACTCGTAAAGTTTTGGCTGTTTCGGTCAATCATATGTTTATTCGTACATCTATTAAATACATAAAGCACAAAAAACATACCCATGTTTAGCGTCCCATAAGGCTTGAGATAGCTTTCTATCCAGTTTGATAATCGAGATTGTGTGTTCGAGCACACATGAAATTAAAAAATATATATATATACAAAGTAAGCTATCACGATTTTTAATACGGAAATATATCTTATTTTATTCACATGCAACAACAACAACAAACAAACTGGAATTAAATCCAATGATATACTTTTTTTTCATCTTACCAAACACGTTTCATTTAAATATAAGAACCAGCAAGCAAATTCGGCTAAGATATACATTTAGGCCTAACCTTGTTATCCTATTAGCACTGGGTAGCCATACAAATGGTGTTTCATTTGCAAAGTCCCGTCGGTGTGCCCTGCCTGTCACAAGCACGTCCCTGATACTGCAGCTCCGCCTGCCGCCTTCTATCACGCCACCATTTCACCATTCGTGCTTGACGCGCGTGCAGTGACTGAACTACAAGATATGAAATGCCGACACCTTTATGGATGTACAAACACATGATGCACGACTGCCATCTATTGTGTCTCCAGTGGACCAGCGCAGCGCATGTGCGAAAGATGTAACACCAGTTAAAGGCATGCATAATAGCTTCATCCACATGCAAAGAGAATGCGCATACTCATTGTTTTTTTTTTTTCTTTTCTGTAACCCGCCATCTTCACGAAGTGATAATATTGACATCTAGGCCTAGTGCAGCACTGAACATGAATTAAAATCCTGAAGACGCGAGTTGTTGTTGTTTGAAAGAAAAGAGGTGTTACATTAATATAACTATTACTTATAACCACACTGTCTTTTGTCCCTAAGTGATGTTTAATCATCCCTGAATGATGTTTAATCGACTCTTTCGTCTTTCTTTGAATACTTAAAAAATGCTATAACACTTACGGCCATTTATTTTAAAACAAAATAATAAACAGTTTCAGGTTTATCATTGTTTTTAATCTTAAGTATGATATTCTTATCGAGAAAGTTATTTCCAACTCTGAAAGAGTGTATTTTCCAAATTGAAACACACGACACAAGCAAAACACCGAAACACAATAGCAATGTCTTCGAAGGGTCACAATTATAATACGTCTTTCTTGATAGGACGAGTGAACTTAGAACATAGGCAACCTCGATGATATATCAGTAAAGGTTCCGAACTTAGTTCGAAAATAATCAGTCTATTTGTTTGTGGGAAATAGATGTGACACACGCACAGTCACGCACAAACAATTATAACTGAACTTATTGGCGTTACTGTTTTTAGGAGGAAGTACTACACATTGAACAACCTCCTGGAATCACTGTCTATAGTCTGGAGTAGCGACACATTGTACAACCTCTTAGTAACACTATCTATAGTCTGGAGTAGTGACACATTGCACAACCTCCTGGAATCACTGTCTATAGTCTGTAGTAGCGACACATTGCACAACCTCCTGGAATCCCTGTCTATAATCTGGAGTAGCGACACATTGCACAACCCCCTGGAATCACTGTCTATAGTCTGGAGTAGTGACACATTGCACAACCTCCTGGAATCACTGTCTATAGTCTGGAGTAGTGACACATTGCACAACCTCCTGGAATCACTGTCTATAGTCTGGAGTAATGACACATTGCACAACCTCTGCATCACTGTTTAGTATCTGGAGTAGTGACACACTGCACAACCTCTTAGTAACATTGTTTAATATCTGGAGTAGTGACACATTGCACAACCTCTTAGTAACACTGTTTATAGTCTTGAGTAGTGACACATTGCACAACCTCTTAGTAACACTGTTTAGTATCTGGAGTAGTGACACATTGCACAACCTCTTAGTAACACTGTTTAGTATCTGGAGTAGTGACACATTGCACACCCTCTTAGTAACACTGTTTATAGTCTTGAGTAGTGAAACATTGTATAATCTCTTAGCAACACTGTTTTGAGTCTGGAGTAGTGCCACATCGCACAACCTTTTGGTGACAATATTTAGAATTTTGAGTAGTAATACAGTGCACAGTTCTTTTAGTTCGGAGCACTATTATCGCATAACCTCTTGGCATCACTGTTTTGAGTTTGGAGTAAAAATATATTGAACATCAACTTGTCAGGTAGTATAGTTTAAGAACAATGTAATTAAGTCGATAGCTAAAAAAAGCGTGATTTCTGTATCACATGGAGTCTAATCATTTGGTTTGTTTTTTGTTTTTTAAGTTAAGCACAAAGCTACACAATGGGCTATCTGTGCTCTGCCCACCACGGGTATCGAAACCCGGATTCTAGCGTTGTAAGTCCGCAGACATACCGCTGTGCTACTGGGGGGCAATCATTTGGTTCTTTCAATTGTAAATATACTTACAACTAGATTATGATTAAAATGTGCAAAATCGTGCAGAAATATGGTTTGTCTTGTTGTCTATCAGATCATGTAGGTTATTTGTAAGAGAGAGAGCGAGAACCACAGATATGCTTCCCTAGAACCGAAGAAGTAAGAGGGACTATTTGAGGTACGGTACATCGTGCGCGTAAGTGTTTAAGACACTCCTACTAACAGAGTTTAATCTTTTGTCTTTATCATTTCGTGCCTCACGCAACCACAGTTCGCTGGTTTCAGGTTGAGGGGACAGCGGCTCGTGCTGCAGTACACATGTCCGAAACAAAAAAAAAAAAGAAACCCACCCACATCCGTACTCGGGGGAGGTGAAAGTCCTCATAACCTAGAAATGTGGAAATAAACTTTCGAAGAAGAAATATATACGAGACCTTTTTTTTCTTTTTTTTGTCAGGCCTAAATTAGTCATATGTTATCATAGTTTAAATGAAATATTAAAAACTGATTCCCAAAGACTTTATATATACAGTGGCTTTCAATACATACGTAAACCTGTGTACTGAGAATGTTGTGTATTCATACACAGTGTCCCGTTCTTTGGTCAACCTAGTTGGTCTGGAGTTGTAATGTTACACATGAACGAAATGTCAACCTAGCAGGTCTGGAGTTGAAATGTTAAACACGAACGAAATGTCAACCTAGCAGGTCTGGAGTTGTAATGTTAAACATGAACGAAATATTAACTTAACAGGTCTGGAGTTGAAATGTTAAACACGAACGAAATGTCAACCTAGCAGGTCTGGAGTTGTAATGTTAAACATGAACGAAATATTAACTTAACAGGTCTGGAGTTGTAATGTTAGACATGAACGAAATGTCAACCTAGCAGGTCTGGAGTTGTAATGTTACACATGGAAACATTACAACTCCAGACCTGCTAGGTTGACATTTCGAGACATGAGCGAAATGTCAACCTGACAGGTCTGGAGTTGTAATGTTAGACATGAACGAAATGTTAACTTAACGGGTCTGGAGTTGTAATGTTAGACATGAACGAAATGTCAACCTAACAGGTCTGGAGTTGAAATGTTAAACACGAACGAAATGTCAACCTAGCAGGTCTGGAGTTGTAATGTTAGACATGAACGAAATATCAACCTAGCAGGTCTGGAGTTGAAATGTTAAACATGAACGAAATATTAACTTAACAGGTCTGGAGTTGTAATGTTAGACACGAACGAAATGTCAACATAGCAGGTCTGGAGTTGTAATGTTAGGCACGAACGAAATGTCAACCTAGCAGGTCTGGAGTTGTAATGTTACACATGAACGAAATGTCAACTTAGCAGGTCTGGAGTTGTAGTAAGTGCCTGAAGAAGGTCAAATGGATGTGTAAGTGAATTAGAAAGAAAAAGGTCCTTCACATGTCCGTTGAATATGACCACAGGAACAGAGAAATAATACTGACTTGTGCGCTTGGAGATTCCAGGAAACCGTTACATCTAAATCGGTTATCGCGTGAGACAGTTATTATTATTTTTTATTATTCTTTCAAAGGCAGAAAATGTGGGGGAAGTAAGACAAAAATTGTGTGCCGTGATGGACACTTCAACAACTTCAAATTATGGCAGGTCAAGCAGGTATCTCAAATACGCATCAATTTTAATAGAAGCACAAAATAGTAGCAGTGGTCAATCACGACTGCTGCTGGCTGAAAAGTGAACGCACGCATTCACTCTTGACCACGAAAAAGGAAAAGGAATAAAGAAAACATATATCAAGCTGAAAGGATCCGCGCGCGCGCGCGTTGCCACGCCTTCAAAGATCCAGTCAAATGGAGACATTTCATTTTTCACTTCTGTTTCTCTTATTGTTACATTTACGAACAATCGGCTGTAATATGTACAGTGTATCATCATAGATACAAAGCGCGTTTCGATCCCATTTAGCGCCATGCTTAAAGAAGAAGAAGACAAATTCATCTAATCATCATTTCCACGAACCGGACTACAATGGAATCGTACGTAATTCAGATGGAAAAAAAAACCAAAAAACTCTAACACGTAACACAAGTGATGTCAACTATGAGGGTTCCAATGATTTAAAATTATTAGAAAAAATTACTGTTTTTCCACAGTTGTCGCCTCCTCTCCTCCTCCCCCCTCGAAAATACCACCAATGAACATATGAAAATTCAACTACAACCTAGTCAAACCCTATAAAAGTAAAGAATTACACGTTGTGAACGTACTTCTTTAGATAATGTTACGGATTATATATATATGCGGATACACAAATTTAATATCTGTCTCTTCTAGAAAGTATTACAAAAATACAACTCGGGCGCCGAGAAAGATTTTTCTGACTAAAATTAAACTCGTACTTCACAATTTTTAAATGTTCTTTTTATCTATTTTCTAAACTTTGAAAAGACTCCTCTATGTTGTTGAAAATCCTTCGTGGTTTATCGGTATTAAGTTTGGAGTTTGGGGTTTTATCGTAGTGTCTAAAAAAAATGATTCTCAAACTGATGTTTTATCGCGATTTTTAAATTGGTATTAATATTAGTGTTTTATCGTGGTGTCTTAAAATGGCACTCACATTTTGTAGTGATTTACATACGTGGCGCTGAACCGGTCACGTATCTTTTAATTGTGTAGTAGAAAGTTTTGTTTTCTGTAGTAGATAAACCTTTTTTGCCCATTACTTGAGTTCTTAGCAGAGAACGAATCACAAAACTAATGTATCTTTACGCCTCACAGCATAAAATATCACGAAATATATTCCCAATTTTAAAGGAAAAACAATAAAATTACACATGTTGTTTGTTTGAAAAGTTTAGGCCCTAATTTATTAGAAAATGGTATCTTGTGTAAAGAACATTTGTAAATGAAAGTTCACAGCCCGTTGCTTCAATCACGGGCTCAGTGGCTTTGGACAGAACAACTCAAGTGTCTATCCACATTGCCGTTCTTAATGTGATGAACTATAGTGAGGGCATCTGGCAACAGTATCCTGTACAAACTCTTGAGCGAAGACAGCTAGTCAACATTATCCTGTACAAACCCTTGAGCGAAGACAGCTGGTCAACATTATCCTGTACAAACCCTTGAGCGAAGACAGCTGGTCAACAGTATTTTGTACAAACCCTTGAGCGAAGACAG